TCTCTTACTATTTGATTGCTGTTAGATTTTTCCAGATATTAAAGATGCTTAGCCAACAAATGCAGCGACAGACAAGAATTAATACGGATAATACATAAATAAAAATATATGCGATATTAACATTTGCGTTTAGTTCTCTAACTCTTCTAACACTATCTTATAATTACTTATTATTAAAATCAATTTAACTAAATAACTTATCTATTAAAATACATAACATTTATTATTAAATTAACCGTGTAACGGAGGATATCGTCCCGTGGGTTGCCACAGAGGAAAACATACCTCAGGTGGGCAACAGCGTCTTAATGACAACTTAAAAAATAATAATTTGCGGTTGCCAACGGTGAAAGCGGGCCTTAATTTTTCTTTGCACCATTCAGAATGTGAAATTATTTTATACTTTTTAGTTGATGATTTACTTTATAATTTTTAACAGTGGCTTAGCAATGAGTTGCTGCGCTGGGGGCCGCGAGTTCGAATCCCGCACGGAACAAGTATTTGTATGGCCTACAAACATTGTTTCGGGTCTGGATATTTGTTCTCGTGCAATTTATGTTAGTAAACTGCCTCCACGATACAGGAGAAAATTCTAGTGTGGAAGTAACGTAAAAAAAAGAAAAAAAAAGAAAGAATTTTTAACCGTGTAGTAGCGGTGTAAGAACATCCACTTTCCCATAGTACTGCGGGTGCGGTAAGAGGCGACAGAGGGAAACTGTCGTGCAAGGGAAACTGTGTAGGATGTAATGGATGGATAGTTCTTTGAAGGCGGCTTTAACTTTTTTTTTTATTTGATCTTAACAAAAACTATTAGGCAAAAGATCTTGGATGAGAGAGAGATGAGATTTTGATTTAGAAAAGGCAAGCATTTAATCACTTCTAATATATGATGATTATACAATTATAATGCAATGCTGTTTTGTACCACCAAACAGATTTTACTAGTTACAGGAGGAAAGACGCTTTTTCTTTCTGCCTATTCCTGCCGTCAAAACAGCAGTGCGTGCAAACTGTCTTCCGGTCTAAGTGTTTTAGAGAGCCTGATAACTTTTTTTTTCTCATTATAAGCCAGTGTTTGATCACAATCTCACCTGGTGGTAAGTGGTGATGCAGCTCTAGATAGTAAATCGCACTGTCTTAGCGTAACAAAAGCCGATACACTCTTGCCTTGAAGACGCCCAGGTTGTATTCAGACGGAAAAATAGACGCCGGCAAATTATTCCACTCCTTTGCTGTACGCGTTACAAAACAAATTAACTACAGACTGAGAGGCATTCCATCTTAGTTCTAAATGGTGACAACGCAATTTAGCCTTATTTGTATAGTTGTATAGTTGGTTGCATTTGTCTATGGGCTGCAGTAACCACTTACCATCAGGTGAACTGTAGGTCCGTTTGCCACTACATTTTATTTTTAAAAAACAGCATTACACCTAGTGCGTGTGTTTCAGTTATAGTTAAAAAGTATTATATTTAGAGGTAAGTACTTCATTTTAGTCCACTGGGGGTACAAAGCATATGTGCACTTCTTTATTTAAAGTTGTTTGGAGTTGGAGTTTACCGTGAGCTGCGGTAGCCAATTAAGATCAGGTATAGGTACTGTTTGTCACTGTAACATTGTAAAATAAATTTTTACATCACTGGTATATAAAATAGCATTTGATTAAAGAACAATTTATTCATTGACTTTTTTTCTTAATATTCTAACCCAGCGCTTGACTGCTATACCATCTTACGGTAATTGGTGATTCAGCCGAAGATGGTGAAGCGCACTGACTTAATAAAAGCCTATTCACAAATGTAGCCAATTTATTCCTTAATGTACATAATCTATAATCTATAATTTTATTATTTTTTGTATTATTTTATTAAACGTGGTAGAGCTATGCTGCAGCTACATACATTAGTAGTATAGTTGTAACACGAATGGGTCGGCTCGACCGGGGAAGGACCACGCTCTCACAGAATACCAGCGTAAAATAGCGGCTTAACACTGCTGTGTTTCGCATGGTGACTGTAGAGAACCGAAGACCCTTTTTACTGGAAAAGAGGCATTCCATCTTAGTCCTCACGGGTGACAACGCATCTGCATTTTGATTCGCAAGCGAGGATAGATGTACATGTCTATGGGCCCCAGCAACCACTTACCAACAGGTGGACTGCGTGGTCGTTTGTCAGAAGCCAAACACTCCGAATCCGCCATTCGACTGCTGTCGTAAACCACTCCTACGACAAGGAATTGAAGAATTTCTAATATTTATATAAAATAAGAATCTAAGCCATTAACTTTTGTTTTGATATTTATTTAGTTTTGTTGTTGGCTATTTAGTTTTATAAATTACTAGCTGCTACCCAGCGCATTGCTGCCGAAGAAGAAATAATTGTGAAAATGTAGTTTTAAATTTGGAATAGTTTATATTGTTTCATTATATATGATAATACATTCATTAGATATATATCTTTCAAATAAATTTGTTGGTACGACATGCGCGCCACCTGCTGTAAGTTAATTGTACCATGCCTATAATCTTCGCAGGAGTGCAAGCAATAAGCTGAAAAAGTTTTAGCGCCATCTGATGAACGGTATGTTAGCGCATAAAATACGAACAAACAAAAATTAATTTTTGTATATTAAGATTAAAAAATAAAACAAAGAACTCAATCCTAAAATGGATATGATCCGTCGACGCCCCATCTAGCCGTTTGGAATACTGGAGGTCACGAAGAAACAAACTACCATAATATCAATACTCCCGAAAATAATTAATTATCCTCCCTTACAATTTCACACTATTTTTTTACGTAGTAGAGCCATACTGCAGCTATATTAGTAGAATAGTACCATACCAGCGTTAAATAGCAGCTTAACACTGCTGTGTTTCGTATGGTGAGTGTAAAAAACTGGAGACCCTTTTTTACTTGAAAAGAGGCATTCCATCTTAGTTCTCATGGGTGACAACGCATCTGCATTTTGATTCTTTATTGAGGATAGATGTGGATGTCTATGGGTTACTGCAATCACTCACCATCAGGTGGACTGTGTGCTCGTTTGCCACCCTATCCTGTAAAAAAACACTACCTGGAAAAACTTAATGCTCTCTTATCAGACAATTAACAGTATACATCAGATAATAATTCCACAAATGACACTTGCAATGTAATTAGCAATCAATCAATTAAAACTAAACAATGAAACAGTGTCACAAAAATCAGCGAAATCAAGTCTCGAGTTCGAATCCGACGTTCCTCTATTCACGTGAATCTCTAACCTAAAACAAGCATTTTAGGCTTACTTAGAGTCGTTTTTTAGTTATTATAATCCTATATTTGACTTCAATCCCACCTAATGGTAAGCGGTGTTGAACCTTAAATGGTATATCACACTGGACTCATAGAACCTCAGTGGTGTACTCCAAATATATATCCTGAAAAGTAAGAACCAGGGTGAGCTACCTCCTTTTTGCGGTGAATGAGCTTGTGATTTAAAGACGTTGAATCTAACAAGATTGGCATCGCCTCATACGGAGACTGCCCATAGTGAGGTGCAGTACACACACTTAGCCAGTACTTCTCTTTTGGACTGGATTTGATACCGACTAGCCCGACAAATGCAACTGTGCTGTCGTTTGCATACATAGATACCGGGCATAAGCAGATTATTACAGCAGGAAGAGAGTTGCGGGGAGAACGTAAGAACTCCCTTTCTTCCCTGAGGAACTCCGGCGTCAGTCATGATAGAGTCGACGAAGTATTGCGGTAATATTACTATTACTAGTATGAAAAGCAATACTAATATGTTTGTATAAATTAAATATATAAAAATAAATCTAAAGTGTTAACTTTTAATTTACAACACAAACACAAACACTCACGCCTGTCACCCAAAGGGGTAGGCAGAGACTACGGACTTCCATTTGACGCGATCCTGACACACCTCTCTCGCCTCATCTACATCCATATATCTAAATTTGCTTTGTCACTCTTTCCACGTTTATTCATTCTACATGACCAAACCAAACCAAACTTTTAATTTCTAGTCAGATATTTAGATTTAATAAATAAAAATTATTATTAAAAAGCCTTGTAGAAGCAGGGTAAGAATATCCACTAACCCATATCGTCCCGTGGGTGTCAGAGGCTACAGAGGGTAATAAACCGGGAGATAGGCAGCAGCGTTTTCCTAATAACAACTAAAAATAAAAAACTACCAACCGCCTGTCAAACTTGGCAATTATGGCAAATATCCCCCTATCAGACAACCTATGGGAGAGGCCTATGTGAGCAGTGGACTTCGATAGTCTGTAATCGTATTTATTAAAAGACAAAAAACCCACTCCAGAGATAAACACAAAAGATCTTATGACACCGTGCACTTCAAAATCCGTCAAGCCGTTCAGACTACTAGATACAAAATAACGGACCAACATGTATAATATTTTATTGTATTTTTTTTTGTTTAAAAAACGTTACCCCCACACTAGGATTTTCTCCTGTTTCGGGGAGGCGGATTACAAACATAAATTGCACAAGGACAAACATCCTGATCCGGAACAGTTATTTGTAGCCCATACAAATACATGTTCCGTACTGGATTCGAACCCGCAGCCCCCAGCGCTGGAACTCATTGATAAGCCACTGCGCTACGGAGCCGTCAATCATAATATGTAACATACGAACACACATTCACACTCCCAAAAGATATTACTCTCTCTCTCTTACAATTTCAAACCACCTGGTAAAAGTTATTAGTAACGGAAACTTATAAACAATTAATGGAATCGATCAGATAACAATTCCACAAGTGATACTTGTAGCGTAATGAACAATCAATCAATTAAAACTAAACAATGAAACATTGCGTACACATACGTCAACCTTACATAATAATTATAAGATGCAGACAGACGTTGGCTACAGCATCGACCTAGAGTGAAATCGAGCTAAGATCGATTGTGGTCACCGAGTGTCTAGATAAGGCGAGATGAGCGATCGTGTTGTGTTATCGTTATCTGGTATGGAAGGAATCTTCATCGTTTGCCGGTAGCGAGGCGGCATTCGCACAGAAGCCTCTGTAGGCACCACGCGCTATCCTTGGGGCGACGACGGCGACTCGTGCGCCGCTACAATCGCGATCTTGCACGCGCATCTCTCCAGTGTCGCACGCAGGGTGACGATGCTATACCGATAGCAAGCACATAAAACCAACGTGTTGATCTCAAACTGGACCTTATATTTATTAGTGAAAGAGTGAATTCTTTGTAATCAACATGGGTGAGTTCTTTTTTTTTTTAATTATGAATTTGTCATTTTTAATTGTTACGCAATAAATTAACGCAATTAACGCTGATGAAAAATCAGGCTAATTCGCATACTCCTCCATAATCGATTAATAAACAATCAGTAAATTTTAAACGACCATAATATTATTCAAAATAATCTATTTAAATATATACGAAAAAGTTTTTTTCTCTGAACCGTTTTATTTAAGTTTTGTAATTTAATTAAAAACTGCGTCTTGTGACTTTGAAAAATGTGTCAATTTTGCTTCTATACAAGAGATGTAAGTTGACAATGATCACGTACGATTTATTTGGTTTGATAATCGGAAACCGCGCGGTTGTCACTCATAGCGAACGTCGATTGTCCCTGACGTTATTTCAGTAATATTGAAAGCAAGCCTTGCTGTCAAAATGAAGATAAAGCCAGCAATTGATTCAAACAAGCCGAATGGTAATGAAGAATTGGCGTAAAATTTAAATCTTTGAGAATTATTAAGTTGTCACTAACTTAAATCTAGAAACTAAAATTTCAAGGACTATTTTAAAATGAATACACGATATTTTAAATATCTCTATTCTTATAAAAAATAAAATATTAATTAGATATAATTTAGTAAGTAGGAAAATTATTAGTCGTTTTAGTTAAATAAAAAATTAAAAGCAATCTACATATAGATATTGGGTTTAATCAATGAGATGCGTTAATAAATTTTAGTGTAAAACGTAATTTAATATATAAAGTAAATTATTTTGTAAATAAAAGTAATTTTACGTGTTTTATTGCGTCAAATTTTTTACTTTAACAATTCCCGACGTTTCTGGTATTTTACAGCACCCATGGGAACTAAAGGAGGACGTCGCGAAATCATAGTTAACGAAGACTACCTTCAACTTTTTAAAATATTTAAAAATACTAAATTTTAGATACATTAAAAATATTTAGTACTACACTATGACGCGACGCCACAGTTTCTTACAATATTTAATAAAAAAAAGTGTGTGTATGTACGCACGGAAGAAGTCATATTTCTTTAACGTAACAAAACAAAAATAATTAAAAATAATTACCTTAAATATAGTTATCAGTTCCCACGAAAACTTGGGAGACGGTTACCCACTGAAGTTGTCAGTTTGAGGTGTCAGTGTGCACGCGCATCGTAACAACTTCATGGTATCGTTTTTAGGTGTCGGTGTGCGCGCGCATCGTAAAAATTCACTCTCATCATATTTCCCAAACGCCCCAAAAGAAGTATAACTTCAAATACCAAATAAGTTTTAGGATTTAGTTGTGTTATTATTGTTTCCGTGTATTGCACACTGCCTTCCTCCGATTTTTCACAAATGCATTACATTGGCAGATTGGCACTATAATATAACCGCAATCGGCTAAACGGATGGACATCAATGCCTAATCTTAGAAAAAAAGTAAGTACTATATAGGTCCCTACAGGACTTCTCTCATTTCTGAGAGGAAATGTCAACACGTTGCCCCATTGTGTGTTGGCGGATATCATACATATGCGGATATCATCATAAAAAACAATTGTACTAAAATTGTAGGCCCGACTATATTTTCTCCCAATATAAATATATTGTTTTACAAACATATTATATTTATTGGCATTACTTGGTCTTCTGTCATAAAGTAAATGTAAAGTGTAATCTGTGTTTGTAATATGACTGTTTGTTATCAAAACAAATGAAAAAATAAATAAACCCAAAACACAAATATTAAATCTGTGATAATAAAAAATAAAAATAAAAAATAAAACTAGAAACTTAATTATCATATAGACCTACTCCCCGCGGTATCGTGCCAAGAACGCTGGCTGCGTTTCCCCGCTGAATGGCTATACTTAGCCTTTGAGCGAGGAAAGAACCAGCCCTCTTATCACCAGCAGGAACGACCAGCCGCGGATGGAGTTCCTTTAGGAACTTCACCGCACGTGGACCCCACGGACCGATAGTCTCTACAGCAAATGGCACAAATATGTAGTCATCTCTCAGAGACTCATATTTGCGCCACTTACTCAGCTCAGCTGCCTCTGATGCCGCCCCGGCTTTAAACGAGGTACCCCTGAGATGAGAGGCTGCCAGAGTGTCTACGCAAGTAGTATCCCACACTAGGGCTTTACCTCTCTCCCAAGGGACCAATGTCATACCGTCGGGTCTCTTGCCATCGTCTCTAAATATTCCACAAGGCTCTAAAACCGAGGGAACATTTAAAGAGGCAAGAGCCCTTCGGATGACATCGTTCAAAGAACTGTGTCGTGAAAACCTACCAGCGCTTTTCTTACATGAAAGTCCGTGGAGCCCAAACTTGTCGACACTGCTACCACAGGGGCACTGATGGAGTTGACAAATCGCCGCTCCTAGTCGGATTCCTACTGCAATACGCAAGCTTTCCCTATCAAGTAAAGTGCCGAGATTACTTGATGGTAAAGCGCGTAACCAGTGACTAGATTCCTTAGTCGAAACAGCTAGAAGGCGTGCCTTATCTTGGTCACTATGGAAATTATGAAACAAATTCTTCTGCACGCCCTGTACCAACGGAATATCCCACTGTTTTTGTTGGTTAACTTCCAGTGGAATATTTTCAACAGGATAGAGCGTTTGCCATGTCTGCCCTGCCTCCGTAGCAAAGCATAGGTCTACTTTATTATTTAAAATTATGTTACATAAGTCACTGACACTATGCACGGAAGCAAGGAAAGCAGGCAATGCAACGCTAGAAAGATTTCTCACACCAATGCCACCAAATTTTATAGGTAAAGTAGCTTGAGCCCAGGCTGTTGTATTTAAAGTTAAATTTAGAATTTTTTCTATAGCAATTTTAAGATTATTATCAATATCTTGTAAAATATCCGAACATTTCCAGACTGGACTCGAGCGGAGTAAGTATGTAAATCTAGGTACAAGAAGACAATATTTTAAAATAGTAAGAGCTATGTGGGGGTTTAATTTATACAATTTATCAACGTGGTTTAAAAACTGATCAAATTTTGTTTTTAAAACAGGTTTAATACTATCGAAAAACAACGGGGCACCTAGCAGGTATAGTGATTCCGTATTGACAGTTTTTATTCCTGGACAAATATGATTAAAATTTTGAATTAAATTGTCTCTATGAGAAGAAGATAAATTATTGGAAAAAAATATTTCACATTTATTGCTATTTGGTTCAAGGCCAATATTTTTAAAATTTCGAAAAATATGAGTAAGATCGCTGAGGACGTCATCTGCTCTACCTCCCAGTGTACCGTCGTCTAGGTACCAGACATTCAGCTTGGATTTCAAATTTGAAATAAAGGGTTGAATTCCCAAACTGAAAAGTGCTGGACCCAGAGGGTCACCCTGCTGAACACCAACAGCAGAATCGATAACATGGTTTTCGTAAAACAAGTTAGTATTTTGACTATAACATTGCCAAACGTAATGATAAATTTCGGGGGTATTGTTAGCCACTTCTTTCAGCAAGGTTACCCTATCGATAGAGTTAAAAGCATTCCTTAGGTCAACCTTCACAAGAACATCTGCATCAGAGTTTGTTAAAATGTACGCACTGAATGTACCGCCGCCTCACAGCCACCTCTAGTGCCAAAACCTAGTTGAGTAGGCTGAAATTTGGTCTTAAGGTTAGAGATTATGTACCTGCAAGCTAATTTTGAAGTTAAGCGTCGAAATGTGGAACCAACGGCAATAGGACGGATACCGTTATCCTTTTTTTTGAAGGCACATAATCTTGCCCCATATAAGAATGGAATGAAATTTGGATTAACATTACCAGAAAGCATAAAGTTACATAATTTTGTAATGTCTTTAAGAAGTACTCCGCCGGCGTCACCGGCAGAAGCGCTTACAAGATCTTTAAGATGTTGAGGCGTAATTCCGTCAATGCCGCCAGCAGAGCCATTCGAAAATGACATAATTGCTTCTAAAGTGTCTTTTTCCGAAATTTGTAAAGGTTGCATAGAAGTCTTGGGAGGCAGCAGTAAACCCTGAGACGGTGTGACCGAAGGATGCTTTTGACGAAGGCTTTCAAGAGTTTTAATTAATATTAAATTAATCAACTTTCAATTAATATTAAATTAATCAAGACCACAAGATTTGTAGTAATGAAAATTTTATTAAAATAGCGGTTATTTTTAGAACATTAAAGGTAATGGCCGATTTAATTTGTACACTGATAATAAATAGTTCAACGAATTATTTTATAATTGCTCTTATTAATTAGGGCAAATTTGTAAACCAATTGTAAAGATTTCCAGTTCGTTTAACATTACTGGAAACGAGGCATTCCATCTTAGTCTTCAAGGGTGCCAACACATCTGCGTTATTGATTCTTAATATATGATAAATGTAGATATTTATGGGCTACAGCATCCACTTATCATCAGGTGGACTGTGTGCTCGTTTGTCATCCTTGTTCTATAAAAAAAAGGCCTGTTTTGTAAATAACTATAATTTATCTATTAAATAGGAGGTTTATTTAAATTTCAAAAATGTCTTCCTTACTTTATTTTATGTATTTGACAAAGCATCAATTGTATTCGCTTACACCAGTCGCGTAAATGAATCATTGTTTTTGTTAAAAAAAAACTTTACCCTCTACACTTGGAGATCACACACGTATCTCGAAGGCGTTTCAGATGCATAAATTTCACGTAGATCATACAAGTACTCTTTCCATGCGGGAATGGAACCCACTATCCGCAACATCGCAGATAAACGCTACCGATACTTCAGATTCTCAGTGAATGTACCTCTTCAATGTGCAGACTTGAAGATCAAAAATTAAAGCACCAATCTACAGAGTGTAGGTTATGGGGTATGAAAGCATTATTATACATCTATATAGTCTAAACTTCAACTTATTAACAATATTGGTAAGGTTCTCCGGTAGCAGTATTTAAATATCGAGAAAAATAACTAATTTTTAATCCATTTTAAAATAATACGAATCAATACTTACTTTCAGTGTTATGACCGGAA